TCTTGCAATGTTGTGTAGATGGTAAATGGCGTAGGATCATTTCAGTGGTGCAGGGTACTTCAAAGTTAAGAATTCAAATTCACAGCACAAAAATGCAAGTATCTCCATCTCCCCCTCTGTGCTCTATGCCAATCCTAATTTCTGCACTCATGGATAACTACCATTTTGTCCTCCAGGAGTCCCACTCTTTACCATGTCCTGCCTCACCCCTGCTTTCTTCACCAACCACCTCCCCTTCTACGCTCTGTCTACCACATTATGATCGAAATCTCATGGTTTGCCCTGCCATCATTTCCCTTCCTCCCTCCCTCCCTCCCCCTAATACCGCTCTTATTTCTAGTATCGCACTCCCTCTTGCTCCCCTCTCCAAATGACCATGCCCTCGTTCACACCGTTCTCCCGTGCATGTCTTCCAGTTTCCTTCTGGCACATCTGGCTTCTACTTGTCCTCACAGCTGCACCACAAGTACGGCTCTGCTTTGCTTTCACACAACACGGTCCTCCTGAGAGACACACAAGTCAGCAAGAGGCTCAGCTTCAGGGAATTTTCCAGCTCTCACAGCTGTAGGGACACTCTGAAAATGTGGGCAGAGTACATCCCCCAAACAAAATACAGGGAAGACACAAAGGGACTCCAAAGTACTACTAAAAATCATGTGCCTCATACAGCTTGGGGTTTACTCATGATCTTTGAGTAGAACATTCTGGAGCTAGCTGGAAAACGAAGAAACAGTCCTACTTATGCCTAGCTACAAAAGACAACAGTCAATAGTAACTGTCTTCACTAGCCCTATTCTTCATCTACAAAGGACTTATGGGTTGTGGTGTCCACCTTGACTAAAGACAACCTCTGCCACCAGTCACTTGAAGAACACTTGAAGAAGCTAAAGGCTTTAGAACATGTAAAAACAGACTAATGAAATGATGTTTTTACCATCCTAAAGCATGAAAAAAAAAAAAAATCAAATGTCAAAAATCACAAGCTTGGGTCCCAAATCATAAGATTTTGAAAGTAAGATTCTCCTTTCAGCGAAACTGGTTGGTGCTCCCAACTGCTCCCATCCACTAATCCAGAAATTGTAACAAATTATTTCTGTAACCATTCATATCAATTTTGTCCCGGTTTAATACCTCTTTCCCTGCCATTTTCACCTCAATTCCCAATGATATTTCATCTATCCCTTCAGGCCAAACCGCCCTCCTTTCTTGATTTTTGAGAAAAACACTAATGGGTACATGAATGAGTGAAGCCTGATAAATTTATGAATGTGCCTATATCATAGGGTTTGCAGAGGTTAGCAGAAAACCAGTGTTCCTGACCCTCTACTTGAATATCCCTGTACAAAACCTGAACTCCTCGCTCCTCCTTTCACGAGGCACAGAGCGGACAGAAGGAGCTACATCTCGTGCTGCCCTCCTCCTTTGACAGAACTGACTGCCCGCTCATCCTTGACAGGCTGGTTCTGGGAGCAGACATCCAACCGGACAGCACTGTCCTTCAGCCCCGGTCGGACCGGAAACCTCTGTGAGCTGGAACTTCATGTACACGTAGGAAAACTCAAGACATATTTGCCAGAGCTGACAGCAGTGAAGTCCCAGATTTTTCTCTCCATCATAAACAGTGTACAGTACATGCCACCTCAAAAGGTGGATGAGAAAGGGCCAAAGCCGTCCCTCTCCTACTACGTATCTTGAAGTTGTGCGAGTAGCTATAAAGGCCAGTGCTGGAATGGATGTAAGATATACAATCAGAGGATCAAATGAAAGTACAGACAGCACCTCAGAAGTGATGAGTGTTTCTCTTTGCATTCCTCTCTCTCACAGACACCTCTCTTCAGCTTGCCTGGCTCTTCTGCACAACATGATCTGTGCAGCATGAGTAGATGACAGAAATGTCTTCATGACTTGTAATAGAAACAGTGAATACCAAGGCTTTCTCTGCATCTGTGAGTCCCAAGTGACTTTGTAGTCATTTTAACTAAAAAGACTCAACAGTAACGAATAACATACAGCGGTTCTGTATAATAGCATGCCTTCCTTGCAACAAAACCTTACCTCTGTGGCCGGCTAGTCAAACACACAGCTGTTTTTCTGCTATCGTTCTCCCTTCTTAACTGCTTCAGTGTCTTGTTCTAGGGTCATTCAAGATTTCAGTCTATTCAAAACACAGCACTGAAAGTCATCTTTTTTACTTTGTAACAGGGCTTTCTTTAATTCCAACCTTCAAAAAGCTTATTCCTTTCTTTGATGATCCCACTGAAGATTTGGGGAGTTCATTAACCTTAATAACTTTAAAGTCAGACTTACCTTAAACATTTCATCTCCATTCGTAAGTCTGTGCTTTCCTACCTATGGCTATAGTCTTGCTTCTTATTACATTTCCCTGCAGCCTGCTAATGAATCCAGTACTTTTCCTTTCTTGCTGTGACTCTTCTTACATGCTGTCCCCACAGGCTGCACTTACTTAATTCAAGTTCTTCTCAGTTAATCCTAAATTAATACTCCATCAGTAATCACAGCAACTAATAAGGTATCATCATCATTCTTGACAGACTGACGCTGACACATACTTTACTCCGCTCAGGCTGCAACAACTTCGTTCTGGATGCAAGGAGACATTCAACCAAGCCTGCATATTTGGGGTAGCTGGTTCCCCTTCCCTGTTGTTTGTTGCTATGGCAGGTGCGTTGCCCTGGGGGTTCAGCTGAGGGTTTGGCGCTCCACGGCTCCCCCCAGCTCCCCACTGCCTCTGAGCCTGTGTGAGGGAGCTACGGGCAGACTCGCACAGTCTGGCGGTGCCATGATGGAGGTGTATAAACAGGACCGGCACGCAACAGAAGCTGCTGCATTGAACAACTTTTCTGTTTGCTATAATCGGGACGTACGACAATATGGCAAACTGCTTTGAAAAAACTGGTTATACAAATATATAAGGATTAAATCTCACTACTCCTGTCAGGCCCACAAGCACTACGCAGCAGCTATCGCCACTGACACCACCGGCGGCTGGAGGGACTCTTCGGGCGCTGGCAGCAGCAGTGCTGCCTCTTCCCGCACAGCCGTGGGGGCCATGGGGCAGGACCCACGCTGGCCCCCTGGCCCGCACAGCGCCCGGG